TGTATGTATGTATGTATGTATGTATGTATGTATGTATGTATGTATTTCTAAGTCCCTGCAGTTTTCTTGGCTAGATTTCAGAAGTGGTTTGGCATTGCCTGCTTTCTAGGCCTGAGAAAGAATGAGTGGCTCAAGGTCACCCAGTTGGCTTTATGCCCAAGGTGGGACAAGAAATCACCATCTCCCACTTTCTAGCCTGAAGGCTTAACCGCTATACCAAACTTTTTAGCTTGTTTTTAGTTTTGTTGTACACCACCCAGAGTCGCCAGTGGTGAGATAGGTGGCTATATAAATTGATTTAATAAACAAACAAACGGACTCTCTGGAGTGGGTTATAAGGACTGTAAATCAACTCCTGCTGTATCCCATTATGGAGGGTAATAGGGCTTAGCATGACGTGAGAACAATGTTGCCTCTAGCTCTGTTCTACACTTATGTAAAAACCAGGATATAAATTTGCAGTTTTAGGAAAAGATACGTTAGAAACTATGATCATCCTAGTGGAGCTGAACTGACAGACATCGACCATGAAACACCTATTTATGACTTCAAAAGAAAGATAGGTTGTTTTAAAATAAATACTTCAGACATGTTCCACGGACAAAAACATTAGCAAAGATACTCTGTGATATTTTAAATTTGTAACTTACAAATATTGTTAGAGATACATTTTCTATTGAAGTGACTTACAAGATCACAAAGGTCCTTGGGATGACAGGTGGTATCTAATGAAGGAGGTTTGTGCCCATAAATGTTCATAAAAGTACATACCAAAGTCATTTTGGTAATCTCCAGGATGCCACAAGATACTTTCCTGCCATTGCAGACAAGCACTCTTCTAAAATGTAGCTTTGGGATTTAATCCAAAGCATAGTTACCTGGAATTTTCTGCTGAGTTAAGCTGCTTAGATCAGTCTATTAAATTAACTTCCTGTATTTTAAGGCCTGATTTATGTTAAAAACAAAAGTAAATTAAAATGTCTCTCTGTATCAAGAAACTACTTGAGACAGTGACCCCTTCAGGACAATATGCTGCTTGTACAGTATGTAAAATGGTGTGGTGCTTTATGTGTTTTAGCTAAGTAGATCCATTTCTATTAGGGAAGTCATTATTGCTGAGTTCAATAGAAATAGTAATCTGGGTTGAATTTAAATATATTACAATTTTGGTACATGCTTGCACAAAGACTACATGTGACTATTTTAGACTGATAGTCTTAGAAATGCTATATTTTAATCCTTCTGATAATAGCAAAGTGTCTGTACAAAACACAGTGAGTCCTGAAGCATTCAAATTATCTCAGGTAAGTCCTTGAATTCCAAAGTGGCACCAATTTTTATTTAAAGTGAATCAGTTTACATGCAGACAGGCACCCTGACCTAAAATCATACCTTGCTAGAATGGTGAGCATGGTAACAGACCAGTCAAGTCATGTCTAAACTGCTTACTAAAAAAGATTCCAGTGAAATACTTGACTCCATGACATCCATAATACTTAAACATTATGAACGCATTTATTGCCCTCAGACTTGCCTTTTTAAACACATTTTCTGTCTTTGCCTAATTCTTTGATGTGATTTTTCTTCAGCAGCCATCTCAGCCTGGGACTCTCCAAATATGATGGACTAGCTATAGCGGTTAGGGATTCCAGAAAATCTAGCATCTTTGGATTGGGTTGGGAAAATGGTTCTATGCTGTTCCTGGTGGTCTATTATTAAATGGGTTTGGTAGAAGAATAAGAAACTAATTGTCCCAGCAGTGAAGCTAATAATGGTGCCATGCCACATAGGAAATTCCTTTATACCAAGTCAGACTACTGATTCAAATAGTTCATTACTGACAAAACTTCTTGAAGGTTTAAGTTGGGTATTTTCCTGTCTTACCTAGAAATTTCCAGGGGGTTGAATTTGGCAACTATAATTATAGACATACCTTTTCAGAAGTCGACAGCATTTCTCTCATATGTCTATGCAAAGGGTTTACATGCTTGTCAGAATGCTATAAGTATATAAGTATATAACCCATGAATGTTTGACTCATCAGTACTTCCATCAACTTTCTTCAACTTGTTGCCTTGCAGATGTGTTGGATTTCAACTCCCAGGATTTCCAGTCAACATTGCTTTTGGATGGCATAAATTTGGATGAGGCTGATCTACACAAAAGTATGCTTCATGTTTGTGTTATATAACAATTATATTAGACAGGCCACTAGCATAATTTTTTTTTAAATATTATCTTCAACACCTATGAATGAATCCAGAAGTTACAAGTTACATTCAAGCAACTATATTATTACCATCCTGCCCAATAGAAACACCATCTCTCCCAAGCTATAAATTTCAATGGCTGATGAAAGAGGCAAACTTTTTTGGGCTAAAGAGATTTCTATTAGACAAGCTGATAGAATGAGCTACAGCTCTCTTTGATACTGTTATCGGGTGCTGAAACAACATTCTGATCATGAATGCAGAGCTGCTCATGGAGCTATTCCTGATGAACTTCCTGTCTGGTTTGACTTACTTGGATTTATCTTGCTTTAATGCAGTGTTTCTCAACCTTGGCAACTTGAAGATGTGTGAACTTCAACTCCCAGAATTCCCCACCCAACACTGCTTTATTGGATACTGCTTCTCAAACAAGCAGTATCCTGCTTGCTGAAGCCTGAATACTTGTTCAACCAGAATTCACCTATCACGATCTCTTTATAGAGCAGAATACCAGAGCCACCAAAGTCATCACACAAGGCCTTGTCTCAATATTTTCAGATACTAATTGTTATACCACCATATTTTCAGGTACTAATTGTTACAGTTTGGAACAGCACCTTTGCAAGGACTGGCTTCCTGATCATAGAACTTTCCCCTTGTTGTTTCCTTGGCTCCCGTGTTATAGTTGTGTTCTAGTAGCCCTTTGTCCATGAATGATGTTTTCTTCTTGTTTTGACCTCTGAATACTGGCTTATTGTTATATTATTAATAGTAATTAATTGCAGTAATTATTTCACTTAAATGAAATAAAACCAAATGGAGCATTTGTTCTGGCCCACTTTCTTCTTTTCTTCTAGTCCCACCTACTTTTGTGGGAGTGTGGTCCCTGACAGCCATGCAAGACACATTTGAGATTATAAACAGTAGGAAGGAGAAACCTAAATAAAGCCCCCAGCCTGGAGAAAATTGTGTACCTTTGGTCTAAGTGTTCTATAGGATGATGTGGGATCTATATAACACATAAGAGAAGAGCCACTTCAGTATTTGTAAGAGGTAGGAGGACAGTTACCATACATTTGCCTTAAAGAAACTAGTAGTGACTACTAAATTTGATCTAAATAGTTCTAAAGTTGCTAGAAAGGAGTTTGTTCTCTCTCTCAATCTTTTGGGATTCCAACCAGGCAAGAGGCATCAGAGGACCACAATGACTGGTTTCTCCTTCTTACTGTTTATCATCTCAAATGTGTTTCCATTAATATACAAATGTAAGGAACAACATTTCATAAGTGTAAATGGAATATATATGGCTTATTTAAATGAGAACAACCACTTCGTGAACAATGTTCAACAGTGAAGCATTGCACGTGAAAAGGGATTCTGAGAAATACTACAAAAAATATGCTAGATCTTCATGATGGTCCTGAATACTGTAGGAAAGGAGATAGGGCATCTAATCCTATTTTCATGTTAGGGATAATTATATTTTCTGTTTCCTTCAGAAAAAGGAAAATATTGTTATGTTAGGTCTTTGACAAAATTCTCGCTCCCTATAGCATATAAGAAGGCACAGTGATGGGTAAAGTTGCCTTGAAGATTGAAGCCAAGAAAATGAGGAAAAGTGTTTATTTTATGTGATGATAGGAGATGCAACACAATAGAGAAATAGAAACCTTCTATAAGATTCACTATGAAATGTGGATTCAAGTGAAGCATCTTATAAAGTGATGAAGAGTGGGAAAGGAATACTAAATCCAGATTTGTAAATCTATGTAGGTAATTTCCTGACCAACACAGTAGGTGGCAGTCATAGAATCTTCTTTATTGGTCCTGTGTTACTAGTTAACAGGAGAAAACTCCAGGTCTCCAAAAAGGCTGACAAGAAAATGAACATTTCTCAGTATTGAACATGTTAGAATTTTCACTGAGAACTTTTAAAGTCTCCAATGGATCTGCCCATATAAACAAACCACTCATTAGTACCATCTGCTGTTCCATCTGTGATTTCTGTGAATATTTCTCTTTTAACAAATTGCACAGGTGATTACCATGACATGCAATGCTGTTTGAACTTTTGCATAATGCCTTTAAGAAGTTGGAAATGGTATTAAAGATATATTTATTTCTAGAAATAAATCTATTACCATTAATGGGCCATTCCCTGTCCCAAACATCTGACTTTTTATCTATATTCTGCCAGTGAAATTACTTTTATTCTTCCCAATCCAATGGAATGTTGGAAAGAAATAATGTAAGGGACTAATGTTTCTGCCTATCTGCCCCTCAGTAGGATAACTCTCCAAAAACAGAATGGAACTACAGTGTGTGTATGTGTGTGTGTACACACACATCAGTGCATGTATATTGATGACTATTCCTTCTAAACTCCGCCCTCCTGGTCATGTGACCTAGAGCAAAGTACATGCAGGCTACTGTGTGCTTCTCAATGTGGATATACACGCATACCCAGGAACAACCCCTTACATTCGTTACACAGGAGAAAACACAGATGCCTCCTGTGGTCAGTTTGTAAAGGCGTTAGAATTGTGGAAGCAATACTCTGCATGCTTTTTCTACGTAGTTTAAACAACCATTTCACTCTGCAGTTGCTCAATTTTATTTATTGACTGTTAGCTTAATTCTCTTGGGTTTGTTATTGCTTTTGCATGACTAAAATATGTTTTATTATCATTTTTATACCTTTTAAGCAACTTTTTTTTTTGAAGGGGTAAAGTAAGATGAAAATAAATCTGTTGAAACTGAGAGCCACTTTGGTCCAGTGGTTAAGGCTCCAGGCTAGAATCCAGGAGACTGTGAGTTGTAGTCCTGCCTTAGGCATGAAAATGGCTGGGTGACTTTGGGCTGGTCCTTCTCTCTCAGCCCAACATACCTCACAGGGTGGTTGTTGTGGGGAAAATAGGAGGAGGAAAGAGTACTAGGTTTCTTTGCTACCTTGAATTATTTATAAAAAATATTAAAAGCAGGATTAAATTTTTTTAAAAAACATTAAGTAAAATATTAATTTTTGTAGTCTCTCTCTCTCTCTCTCTCTCCAAAGTGTAATGTAATTCTAGCATTCATAAATTCACATGAGACTTGGCTTAAAAGTAAATTACATACATAGATGTAATTCTAGCATTCATAAATTCACATGAGACTTGGCTTAAAAGTAAATTTCTTGTTAAACTCTGAACTCTTGGCCAATTGCACATACCAGAATATTGGATACATTCACTAAACATGAATATAAAATGTAATATGTACATTGTTACAATCAACCATTTAGCGAAAAATCCAACTAATCTGCTCACCTGTGAGCAGCTGGAAGAAATTCTGACATTTATTTAACAAGATTGTAGGCAGAGTCACTTGTACAACTTCTAACTGACCATGGACTGAATGAGGCTGTTGTTTCTTACAGTGGACCTGAAAGGGCACTTTGGGTACAGATAACTGTGTCACAGCCTGAGGAGTGTTAGATCTAAAGAAAGGAGGCTCACATCTGGAGAATCCACAAAGCAGGTTAATAAAAGACAGAAAAATGAAGAGGCATAGTAAATAAGGCCTGTATTAAAAAAGAAATGGAGTTAACATTAATTTGAACGCACGGATGGACTAAACAGAGAAAGTGTAGAAAAAATCACAGGAACCACTACTGAAAGAATTTTTATACAGTATGGTTTAAAATCACATGCAAAAGTTATGTCTAGCAAGCCATATGAGCCATATCATCCAGCAAAGGGAAGCATCAATATAATTCACATTTGTCCCCTCCCCACAACAAAATCAGCCCTTTTTTATTCCATGTTGAAATAAAGTAATGATTTAAACCCTGGATACAATTCTGTATTGCCAAAACAACAAATAGCTAATCCATTTATTTTTGAAGAGTGAAAACACAAACACTATGTGTACTTATGTGTGAGAATGCATGAAAAAGACGCATACCCTTTCAAAACCTGTTTCAGTGGCAGAAAAAGACTGCACAACTCTTTCTACATATTCCAGTGAATACGTGAAACTAAACTTATAGACAAAGCTATGTCTGCTGGATCTACTTCCTAGATCCTCTGTTCCCTTGTCTCTCTGACCTCCTTTAAAATAAGGGGTATAAATCCAGTGTAACTGTAGATTACAGTTTATGAAGGCCTACTATTGCATTGAATGTTGTACTCACATTTGAGTGAATTTAAATGCATTTCCTCTTCAGGCCACTGTACATAAAGAGACGTAGAAAAAAAGGAACTGAGCAGGTGGGATGCACAAATATAGAGCAGTGGTTCTTAAACTGGGAGTAAAGGCTCCTTCCCTTTTGATGTTCTGTAAGTCCCTCAAGACCTGGTTATGTGCATCAGAGACATGTTTAAATGGCTCCTATTACTGAGGTGGATATACACATTCTCTCCATGCCTGGGGTTTGTATATTTTCACTTTAATTTTAATAATATTTAATTTTAACACTGATTTTTATATATTTATATGATTGTTTTTATATATGTGCTGTTTTATGGGATTATTCTGTGCTGCCCAGAGTCACCTTCGGTGAGATTGGCAGCCATACAAATTTGTTAAATAAATAAATAAAATTTGGGCATATGCTGGGGGTAAGGGAACAATTTGTAACTGCTTATTTGTGAGTCAAAGATCCAGTTTGGGATTGCTGCCACCGAGACACTTGTGTAAAATAACCGATTTTGGGTTTTTTGTGGGAGGTAATGACATTATTAAAGACCAGGAGAAAGGGGATCTGGGTCAAAGAGTTTAAGAGTCAGTAGAAGATATGTTCATCGCTATCCTCCCACAATTTTTAGAATATTTATTCATCCATACATCCATCTATCCATCCATACAAAAATGTGTATATTATCTACTTCCCAGAATGCATAAAGAGGATTAATAAGTCTACCCAGCTGAGATATAAATTAAAAAGACATTAGAACTTTGTCAAGTCAGTTCTATTAATCTCTCTAACTAGTATATTTTTAATTAAGCCAAAAAAGGTTATTTGTTTATATGTATATAAGGCATTCTAAGTAATTCAGGATGGATGGTTGTGTTCTATGTAACCCACTCCAGATATGAAGAGGGAGGGAAAAAAATCTGAGATCTAGAATTAATCTCAAAGTTGGGAAATCCCAGTTGTAAAAATGGCCATTAGAAGCATCTCTCAACCTCCATGTCTTCAGGGGGTAATTTCTTTTTTTATAACAGAATCCTTACAGCATTGGAGATTGATTTAACATTTTTACTATGGTGTCCACAGGCCATAGGTTTTGGTTCAAACAACAATTCAGTGATTTCAGACTTAGTTCACTAGGTTGATTATATGATTCAGAGATTTAATTTAGGAGCCAAATATTGATTTGGCAATCTAATTCTCCATATTTCCTATTATGCAAAGCTATGCAAGGACTGGAAAAAAAATATGATAGCTTTCATTTGGGTGAAATTAAAAAATAGCCACTTTTATGGGATGAAGTCTGTCATTTAAAAAAAATAAAATAAAAATAGGAGAAGTTCTTTAACATTTTGATTAATAAAATAAATAAAAAGGATTATAAATAACTTGTTTCATTTCTTGGTGGAACTGGATGGAATTACAAGTAAGAATTCCCTTTCTGAATCAGTCATGTTTGCAAAATGTTCAAGGCATTTTATACAAGACCGGCATTTTCACTGGAGGAAGGGTTTTCAAAAAAGGAAACACATATTTTCCTATTATGGGACTGGGGGGTGACTCTTATTATAAAAACTAGAAATAATTCTATCTATTTAAACTTGCAATATTTAAACATAATAGATGAGACTGTTTATAAAGAACAACAGTCT